ACCACCGCCACCCCGGGGGCCGCAGCTGCCTGTTCGAAGCCCTGGACGCACCTCGCAGTGCAACAGGTGGGGTGCAGTGGTCGGCTTGCTGAGAAGGACTCTCTGTTCGCCCACCTAGGCTCATCCCAGAGCCCTCCCCAGGTGACAGGTATGTGGGTGTGTGGATTTGAGAGGGGAGATGAAATTGAATACTTGCTTTCCGCAGGAATCGCTGTCCCCGATTCTTCCTCAGCCGTAGCGGCCTTCGTGGAAATCAGCCCCGTCATCAGAAGTAAAGGGGCCAAAAGTACCATCTTCCTCGTGCAAACACTGAGCATCTCGCTAGTTAAGCCTTCCTCCTTCCCAGGAGAAAAGGGGAAAGGCTGGGGTTAACAGAGATATTTGGGAGCACCAAGTGTGATTTTTTTTTCCCGCCAGCAATCCACACGAGTCAAAACTACAACATTAAGAACTCGTAAATCAATACCACATTCTTACTATCTAACACAACTAATGAAGTTGTCATGTTTAGCTACATCCTTTCTCGGGAAATCTGTAAAATTGGTAGAAATAGAAGACAGAATAACAGAATGTTATTAAATAAAAGTAAGCAGTAATACCAGAAGCCAGAAGTAATAATATCAAGAGGTTTCTTATAAAAGAAAAGCAGAGAAGTATTTTCCTTAGGACTGTAATATTTTCATTATACTCTCTCTACATATAATACATGGACTCCACCGGCAAGGGAAGGGATCATTTCAAATTGTAACACTTCAGGCCCTAAGAGCATCAGTGTCCCAGGGGCATCCACAGAGGCGTGGTCAAAAAAGTCAAGATGGCCACTGTGCCTGTACAACAAAGCACATCTCAACCCAAAGCTGGTTCTTGGCCCGAAAGTGGTAGGACAGAAGGCAGAACCTCTGCTGCAAAATGATTCCGCTCAACACCTGCATTGATGCCCACCTGTTATTTGGTTCTAGAACTTTAAAATAGGTGGCAACAGGGAGAAGAGTAAAAATACCGGGGGTGGTGGTGGTGGCAATGCTCAATATCTAACCCCAGAATTTCAGCAGGATGCTGTGACATCTCATGATGTTCTCAAGATAATGTGACATCAATCACACCATCGCAAGCTTTACGTAGGATTCAGCAGCTGTTCTCGATCCCTGGAACGGCTGGAGGTTACGTAGCTGTGGGGCTTCGTAGCCATAAACCATTGCTATGGAGAGCCAGGATATTGGGCTGCCATTAACTGAAGGAATCACATAAGAACGCAGGCTAAACGTGCGCAGAGAGAAAGAGCATTATTTCATCTCTCCAGACTCGGTCAGAATGATGACACCTGAACAATACACCTTTTGCACACGATCCCACAGCAGGTGCATTGACCAAAGCACCAATGAAAGCAAAACTATTTTCTGCTTAAAAGCAAAAGGTCTGATTAACGCCTGTCTTTCCATTTCCTCCATATTATCCACACGTGAACCCCGTATTCCGAAGTGGTGGTCAGAATGGCTTTTTCAATCCGTTTCAAATGTCTGGATCAGACATCTGCAGATCATTTCCGCCCTCGTAGCAGCAGCCACGGGAGCAGAAATTCCCCGTGTCTCCTTCTGTCAGGAGCAGCTTCCCCCTTGCTTCTCTTTCCCCGGAGCAAAGCCTTGCCTAATCCCCAGACCGGGGCAATTTCTCACAACAGCCTCTTGTCCAGAAAAGGGCTTGAGAAATCACTTGTTCTCCACCCAGGTTTTGAGACTGCTGTGTGGAGTGCAAACCGTGCACCCCAACTGAGCGGAATGACCCAGGGCACGGCCTCCCTGCAGTGACACCGTCGGCTCAAGAAAGCAAAGACAGAAATACCTGCTCTCTCTCCCTCTCCCTTGTCTTGGTGACGGCGGCTTTGAATGGCTGCCGTGGCTGGCTGGTGCAAGATGTGCGGCGCTGCGGTCTCTGAGCAGGCGCACAGGCGCTCTTTATCCTTTCCCAGAGGATCTGCCATGGCAACCGTGCCGAGCCCCAGACTCACAAAACAATGGCCTTGCTTCCCCTGTTGTGTTACAAAAGGCACGCCTTTCAGCACATCCCTTGATCTTTTAGTGTACAGTGTAAAACGAAATAATGTGGCAAAGGAAACATGAACGTGGGTATGACGTGTAGGCCTCTGCAAGTGATCACTCACTTCTTCAGATGCAAAGGAAATCGAGTATGGTTACCGATGGGGAAAGGGAGACACGAGGAGCTAATATCTGAGGTTAGATTAGTTCAGTGAGAGACAGTCTTGGCCTGTGATTAAACTGTAATATGATGCGATAAGTACTGTAGCCTTAATTTTTTTTACTCCATTAAAACTCCAACTAAATTCCAGTTCACCTTTTCTTTCAGTGAAATTTTCATACCCTTTCAAAACAATAGCCACTCGATTACAGAATGACTGGATGAGTCCAAACGTTCCCACTCTAGGTTTTGGACCCACAAATTCTGATTCTTTTATTCTTTTGAATGTGATTTCCCCAACGTGACGAGGCAGGTGAGGACAAGCATGCATGCAAGCCTACTTTGCTCTTGTGGATGTGGCCATGTAATCGTGTTGCCATAATAGATACAGGGCCAGAATTAGCATTGGGACTTGCGGCGTCTGGAAGCTCGAACTGTATCCAGCATGAGGGGAGCGATGGGTGAGCCTTGGTACGCCCACGTAATGCCTCTGTGAGCTGCGCGGGCTGCCAGTTTCCTTCCTGGTCCAAATCAAAGTGCTGGTCATTACCAATAAAGCCCTGCCTGGCATAGGGCCAATGTGATGGCCCATCGTGTCTCAAAAGTAACACAACAACTAAAACATGAATCAAGGTCTTGCAATGCCTTCAACTTAGCTTCGCTGTTTTATTAGACAGAGTTTAAAGTCAAAAAGTAGATAATGAAACAAACCGTATTGACGAGAGTTCCAAGGCAAACCAAGATAATTAATCACACATTCCAGGAAGATAACCAGGGAGAGTCCATGGGAAGAACGCCAACAAAGATAACACTCATCCAAGGAAAACACTAATTTGACTTCAGCGTCTGTGAACATGCAGTTTCAAACTCTTATACAGTGCTCACAGCTGCAACCCATGAGGAGGATCATGGCCCTTGTTGAGGTAATTCCCCGTTAGGAGAATGAGCGCATACAGGGAGACGTATGTGAGAGGAGTGTTTGAATAATACACACACAGCTCATAGATTCACTGTACAGTAAATGTAGGGTTTTACTTCCAGAAACGTTAAGCAAAGTCCAAAATAGGCAGTCCAAAGTCATTCACAGGTAAAATCAGTCAGTTTTCATCCAGGGATAATCCAAATATCAAATTCCAGCGTCAAAAACAGTTCAGTAACAGACTTACATCAAATCCAGTAATATCAGTCAATTAGGAAAAATGGAGAAACGACAATACCTTCCAACAGAAGGAAAACAGAGATACACTCACACTCTCTTCTGAGACTCAGACTAAGACAACCCAGGTTTCTGGCTCCATCTTATGGCCGTTTGAGAAACCACACCCAGTTGCAGTTTTTGCAATCTCTTAAAAGACATAGTACTAAAATGTCTATCCTGGCTTATATATTTCTAACCCAAATACCTGTTAGGTGACTTATATTCCTAACAGCCCTCTCCTCCCAAATAGACCCTGCTTTTCCCTGATCCTCTCCTCCCTGCGTGCCTAGGATGGATAGGGGATGGGCCCTTCCCCAGCCTCCTCCACCACCTCTGGAGCCACACTCCCACTCCCTGTTGGCTGTTCCTCCTCTTCCTCAGAGTCCGACTCCACCGGGGCCAGGACAATTAAGGACTAATTCTAGCTGCCCAATTATTTTGATCCGGCCGGGTTGGCATTCTCTGGGTTTCTTCGACGGAGCCAACCGTGAGCCCGTCAGGATCGAACTGCTGGCAATGGGCAGTGGGAGTTAGCCCCGCAATGCTGCATTGTGACCCCTGCGCCAACAGGGCTCTCTGTGGGTTAGCTTTGCTGGTTGTCGCTTTGTGTCATCTTTTGTTCTTTGCTTTAATCACTATATTATTTCTGTGGATTTTTCTCCACAAATCACACCGGTGGCTGAACGCCAGGACACGAGGCAGATTCAAACTGGACAACTGCACGATAGTTTTTGTAAAGAATCCACACCTGTCTCCACACAGGTCATCCTCCACTTGTTAAGCGAGGCATTTGTTTTGCCCGGTTTTACCTTTCTTGCCACAGTTGTTAAGCGAAGCACTGCGGTCGATAAGTTAGTAACATGGTTGTTAAGTGAATCCGGCTCCCCCCATTGGCTTCGCCTGTCAGAAGGTCACAGAAAAGGATGTCGTGGGACGCTGCGACCATCGTACAGATGAACAGTTGCCAAGCGCCTAAATTTAGACCATGAGACCACGGGGCGGCTGCCACGGCTGTGTGGAAAAGTCGGCTTTTTTCACTGCAGCTGCAACTTTGAAGGGTCACTATAAATGGACCATTTGTAAGTCGAGGACTACCTGTATAAACTTAGGGTTGGCTGGGGAATCCTGAGAGCCTTAAATGTTTGGATGATGGGGAGGAGGAGGAGGGTGGCGGCGCTTCATCGTAAAGGAGGCCTTGGGCAGGCTCCGCTGGCCTCCCCCCTCTTATCTCGGGGCCTCTTTCCCGCCAGTCTGCTCTCAGAAAAGCGAGGCACGGCAGGCCAGGGAGAGAAGCGGCGGCGCTCCGGCCCAGATGGAGGCGCCATTTCCCTCGCGGGGAGGCTGGAGACACACGGGACGGGAGCGGGGGAGGGGGTCCCTTTTGGTGGAGAAACGGCCCTGCCGCGTTCTCCGCCGAGGCCCCACGTTGCCCAGCCCAGATCTTTCGCGAACTCGGCTCGTCCGTATCCCCCACCCAGCAACCGCTGAGGAGAAAAACGGACGAAAGACTGAGGCGCCCCGCCATCTTGACGTACGTCACGCGCACGCGCCACGCCCCCTCCCAGCTCGGCCATTTCCCGGCGCTCGCTCGCTCCCTCCCTGCGTCCCGCGCGCCGCCATCTTGCGTTACGGACGGCGTCCCTGATCCCTGGCGGGCCGGGGCCTCGCTCGAGGGATCCCCCCTCCCCCCTCCCCCTTTTAGGTGTCTTCATAAAATGCCCGCCGCGCGCCTCGGCTGGGCCCCAAGATGGCGTCGATGCGGGAGAGCGACATCGGCCTGTGGCTGCACAACAAGCTGGGCTCGGCCGACGAGCTGTGGGCGCCTCCGAGCATCGCCTCGCTGCTCACCACCTCGGTCATCGAAAACATCCGCCTCTGCTTCCACGGCCTCTCCTCGCCCGTCAAGCTCAAGCTGCTGCTGGGCGTCCTCCACCTGCCCCGCCGCGCCGTCGACGAGGTGAGCGGGGAGGAAGAGAGACCCACCCCCGGCTCCGGGGCCGCCGTGGCCGATGGGAGCCGGAGTCCCCCGCGGACGCCCCTCCTGAGGCTTATTCCCCCGTTTGGGGAGGGGGGCTCCCCTTCCTGGCTCAGGCGGGGGGGCGGGGGGGGGCTGGGCAGTTGGAGGGTCTCCCGGCCGAG